TTGTTTTCCCATGGATTATTCTTTTCCTTGTTTTAATAAAATTAGTAAAACAACTTTGGAAAGACATCAAGTCTATCCATCCACAGTGATCTGCTATGAGCCAATTTTCTTTGGGGTGTTTTATGGATTGATCTTTTTTTAATCTCTCATTGATTAGCACATTCCGTTAGCTATCTGTTTATAGCAGACACAATGCCTTGGTCATTCATCACATGACGGACCTGCACATCATCTTTTAGCCCCATTTATATTTTTATTAAACAATTCTAGACTAAACAAATAATGGGGAAAAAGTTGAAGATTATGAATAGCCCTTTACGAACAATTTCTTACTTTCAAAGTGTGTTTTTCCTGCAACACTTTCCATGGGGTTGAAAAGTTGCACACTGGTTTGTTCGTACGACAGCGTAATGTAACAATGGACCTGAGCAAGTCACAGCCGAAGCCATAAACACTGTGCCTGGTAGAACTTCGGCACAAACGTGAAGAACAAATAATACCAACACACAAAACAGTTGGTCGACTGAGCGATTGAAAAGATGAAGATAATAGGGAAGAAAAGGATGCACATCATAGTCCAAAAGATCCCCGAAAACATCAACAGAAACCAGAAGTGCGACCGCCGAAGCCGATCTGTTACCAAAAGTGGGTTGCTGCGAGCACGCCGGTGGGTAAGAAGTAGGGTTGAAACCGTTGACGGGAGCTCCGGCGAAGAAATACCATGGTAATACAACAACGAAAACCGCCCGGCAGTGAGCTTTTGTTTCCATAGAGAAGCCGGTGTTTAACCACCAAGCTTATGTGTCATACCCCGGTCAATAACCTTTGAAATAGTCATAGACACCAAATACAATCCGCTCTGATCGATTGTCGTACTAAGAGACGGAGATGAGGTGTACGCAAGTAAACTGTGGACACATACGGTGTTAGCTCAATCGTGCACGAAACTTCCCAGTGACAGGCCGTTTGGACGTTTGCATTTGCAAGAAAAATCAACACCCTTTGCGCTTCTGCCAAAAGGTGTTCTTCGAAAGGAGCGCTTTCAATCACTGACTCGTTTATGGGAACGGTAATAAACACTCTACAAATGTATTTTTAAAGCATCCTGGCTTCATTTTAGACCGAAACGTCCATTGGGCATATCAGAAACCTTGATAAATGTGCTATATACTTTTGTCAACTGAGGTAGTCACCTGCACAGTTACAATCACTTGGAAGGCAAGTGCATGCACACCGAATACCTCATTTCATTTGAGATTCCTGGTAATCTTTATTCATCTGTTTTTCAACGATTTAAAATTGGTTATTAAAACTATTGAGCTTCTATTGATTTACATATTTCAAGTGGTGCGCAGACTTACTGAACTTCTTTCCTATAAACATAATTGTATTTTAGAGTATCAAACCTGGATTAGCCCATTAGATTGTTAAGGGGCACCAAACACTCTTTGCCGGTTATTACAAACATTTCCAAGGCATGTAAATGCATGAACTTGTGGGAAAATAACGATCTTCCAAGGATTGAAACCCCATCCAAGACCATCAAGTGTGCCTGGTGCAGCTTAACAATCGAATGGACTAATCCAAGCTTGCTGCTCTAAAATTGATTCAGTCATTCACACAAGGTGATGACCGTCGACCGTGTAGCTCAAGGGCAAGGGTGATCAGCGCGGCCTTTAAATTTGGCCGTGCCTTGTTATCGCGGAATATTGTTTTTCGTGAAGGTACCCTGGAGGAACACGTGGTTATCACTTTTGCATCAACTGGTTATATTCTCAAGGTCAAATGATGTCCTACAACACCAAACTTTGAAATCCTTGAAGTTTATCGAGGAGAAACATCAGTTTCTTATTTTTGCCCATTCTGTGAGAAATCGCTTCAAACGAATGCAATAATCTGTTCAAGGGCACCATAAAAAACACCATGTTGGCTGGCGTGTGGCGCTTAGGCGGCGTTCTGTTGATAATTTGACTGTTCCGTCCGTTATCTTATGTAACATTCGTTGGCTCATGGGAAAACTCAATGATGTTATAAGCATGATACACCAGAATAAATGGAAGAATGTAGGGGATATTCTACTCCAGGAAAGCTGGCTACACCCTGATACTGAGGACAATGTCGTGCATCTTGATGGATTTGACATATTCCGAGGAGACCGTAATGTGAATCTCCTTCACAGAGGTGGTGGAGTAGTCACCTTCGTCAACAGGAAATGGTGTAAAAACGCTCGTAAATGTTTCCAATTTAATACTGCCAAGATAAATTGTATTTCTGTTTATTGTAAACCCAGATTTATCAGTCACTTTTATCATATCACATTAGCGAGCGTTTACATCGCCCCTGGCACACCTGTCTCTGATATTCGTCTGTTTGTCGACTCCTCTTCACAACTTATAACCGGTTTAGACCAGTCTTTATGCATTGCTGCTGGTGATTTTAGCCGTTTTAATATATCTTTCCTTACAACTTTAGGCTTGACGAATTTTGTATATTTTTCTACACGGCTTGGTACTCAACGTGACGGGATTTTTGTAAATAGCCCGAAATCTTTTTCATTGATAAGCGGGCTCCCATAGGTAGCTCCGATCATTGCTCTATTTTTTTGCACCCTAAGGTTTACGGTAAATATTTGCACCACCATATGAACCGTTCCACATCCAGAACCATCAGGAGAAGTCGCACTTCTGAAAACTTATCCACACTTGCAGACATGGTTTCATCTACCGATTTCCCTGTCTTTGCCAACGCTGACAACTCTTCCAGTTGTGAGCATCTTACATGTTGTCTTAATTTTTGCTATGATCTGTGTTGCCCAGTTGAGACCTTATATATTCGAACTGACAAATTCTCTTCGCCTCTTCTAAAACGCCTTCGTCGTGATAAAGAAAAGGCTTACAGAACTGGAAGGCGCAGTGTTGTCAAACAACTATCATTATTGATCAAAATGGAAACACAGCGCTTAAATCGGATATATATCGAAACTTTTATGGGAAACCAGAGCTGCCGCGATATGTGGTCCGCTTTGAAGCAGCTCTGTGGATCACGCAACAGATCTTTTCCGGATGTTGAGGAGCTAAACCGTCAATTCGCAAATGCTACTATAAGGAACCCAATACCATCTTTATTTACATCTACTGAGGAGAACCAATCTGTCACCCCTGTGAAAGTCCCGAATGTACTCAAGTCCCGTGATTCCAACAAGGTACATGGCCCTGATTCGTTGCCCCCTTTCCTACTGAGTGTGCTGAACAACTTGCTTCACCTATTTCCGAGTTGCTCAATTTGTGTGTCATCTGGAAGCATCCCTGATTGTTGGAGAGCTGCTCGGATAACCCCAATTCCCAAAAAAGGATCTTCCAAATATCGACCGATTGTCTGCCCATCAGCATTATTGAAAGTTTTCGAAAGAGTCCTTCTTAACCGGCTGACCCTTTTATCTGTCACCCGTGACCCTATTCAGTTTGCATACCAACATTCGCTTTCCACTCTTGATGCCGTTGCTCACTCCGTTTCATCCTTAGTGGATAAAGGGGCTGGTATCGTATGTTTAAATTTTCTTGGTTATGCAAATGGTTTCGGATCACTTGACTGCGGCATCCTCATTCAACGCTTTTGGGATTGTGGCCTGGACCCTAATTTATTGAACGTACTAATTAATTACTTTACTCATCGGACGCNTTTTTTAACGGTGAATCTTCCTCCCTGCTAGAAGTTAACTCTGGAGGTTTTCAGGGTGCAATTTTGTCTCCATTTCATTTTTCATTGTATATTAAGGACCTTCCCATCCCTCCCAACTTTATCGTCTGCAAGTATGCTGATGACGTGGTGGTCGGCTGTCCCTCGACTGTTCCTGATTGTGTCTATCAATTTCAAGTTTGTCTAAATAACATTTTTAGTTGGTCAACTTCTGGATCTTTATTGCTAAATGTAGATAAATGTGTGGATGTTTCTTCTAGCCTTAAAACAGGCATGCCTTATCAAACCCTTTTGAGCAATCAGCCTG